GTTATAGGTAATATATAATGAAACGCAAGAGACAACTATCAACAAATTGTGAAAGACATGATGTGACAGGTGGGTGTGGCAGGAGGGGTCTGATTTTCTATTTGATAGCTCTGTAACCAAACAAATTGAAGGCTATAAAAATTATGGTTTCTTTGAGCAATAACGATTTTATAGAGAGTATTTTACATTTAATTTCTTACATTTTTTAGGGGTATTGGATAAAACAGAGATGATGACATGCCAAGACAAAATGTGTCACGTGGGTCACAGTAGTGGAAATTCAGGATTGTTTTAAATATTGCCTTGTAGAATTAAGAACTTAAAACTTGTATACTATTAAAATATGGATTATTAGCTGAGATTTTATGCTATTCTAATAAAATTTTAAATGTAAGACACTAAAACCTTGTGTCATGCACAGTAAAGGATACCCGGGGCAAATGGGTTAATTATATCATCATGTTTTAAGGTAGCGAACTGTAATGATAATAGGATTTTTTTTTATTTCTGTTAGCTTTTTCATTATGTTGTTTCATTTTAGAACCTATCTGTTCGAGTGAAAATGGAGAAGCCTGGTGATCTACTACATGATGATGTTATTTCAAAGTTTAGTTACAGTGATGATGAGGATCAGGGTAGTTCACACTGTAATCTTATGAATGTGAAAACAGAAACTGAATTTCAAATAGATATTGAATCTGGTTTAGAAAGAACATCTGGTAAGTACAAACATCTAAAACTCTTTACTTTTCTTTGACACTAGCTATATAGGTTTGGTTGGAGTGACTGACCTTGTAATACTAAAGTAACCATAATCTTTTCCAAACTGTAAATTTTAATACATTTTTGTATCTTCAGGAGGTTTAGCAAGCTTTCAGTAAACATTACAAGTCTTTTGTATACAAAAATCAGATTTTTTCATTAACACTTTCTCTACAGGCATCTTTTTCTGTTCAAGTCGAGAGGTTTTAGTGAGTTACATTCAAAATTTAATTAAGCTACTTTCTTATCATGGTATACAAATAAATACAGCATAAAAATGTAGCTAATGATGCAAATTTTAATTTTATACAAGTTTTAAGTACTTAATTGCAGAAGGCAATATTAAAAACAAATCCTTGATTTGCCCTAGTGTGAGAGTTTTGACATTTGTTCTCTAGGTATCCTCTCTTCTCTACTTTATTTACCACCCCTCCAAGAAGAATGAAATTCTGATACAGTACATTACCTGGTTTCATCCAACTCTTCATATCTTCCATCTTCACTCCTGGTTTTTATCTGGTCCAGGCGAGGAGATCCAGTTTGTCCCAGTGGGTTGCTTTTTTTTAGCTTGTTCCATTCACCCTTCCTCTAGGAATGTTTATCAGTGTAAGTGGAACATTTTCCATCATTGGTCTTTGGGTCAAGGGTTTTCCCCTGCTCAACTCACTGTTCTGCATATTATGGATTTCCTCACTTGGCTGTTTGATCAGGAGTTATCGTGCTGCCTTATCCCACACATTTTGTTTTTCTAGGTATCATAAAGTTTTTACTTCTCCTACCCTTTCCCTATTGTTGTGTTCCTTCTGGATTAGTTGTCCACCTTGGCATGCAGTCCTTATGGATTTGGATGTTAATGTGTTTCTTCACAGCCTCTGTTTGAATCTCTGTCCTCGTGCTCGATTTTTCACTTATCCCTTAAGACTTATTTCCTTCTCCTACTAGCTTGTGAACATCATTGGTCGGACTTATTTGCCATCGATGTTTCACATGCTCTCCTTTATCTGGATTGATCTTTCCTTCCCAAAACGTGGGCGGCTTGGGAGAGTAAAACCTCCTTCTCTCCAATTTCACTTCCTTCTATTTCCCGCCTTGATCCTTGGTCAGATTCAGATAGGCTACAATGTCCCATTTATACTCTTCATTGTTATGTTGCCAGCACGACTTCCTTTCGTGGTGTCCGTTCCTACCTATTCATTCCTTGGCAAACATCCTCTGTTCTTTCTGCTTCCACCCTGACCAATTAGGTTCGGCTTTTAAATTGAAGGGCTTATTCTTCCTTATCTGCTTCATCTCATAATTTGTTCCAGGTGTCTTCGCATCAGATCAGACACCTTACCTTTCCCCTGGCATCTCGTCTTCGTTGTCTCTTGGATGAAATTTGTCAATCAGGCATGTGGACTACCCCACATATGTTCATATCTCACCATCTGCAAGGATCGCCGTGTCCTCATATTTCAGTTATAGTCTTCCACCTATAGCCCTTCTTCAGACTTGGGTGAGACAGTGGCTGGGTAAGTTATCTTTTATATATATATATTTCCTCTTTTATCAGGGGCTTTTCCCTTTTCTTTCTTTCTTTTTTTACGGTCTGGATCCCACTCTATGCTGAGTGGTGCCTGACCAGGTATGCTTCAAATAGTCAAATCTGCACTGTCATGTTGACTGCATATTTCTAACTTCTATGGCCATAATATGCTCACTGTTGAGATGGTGTGTTTCACAAGATCGCTTGTAGGTTTTCCTTGCCATATATTTGCTTCATTAATATGCCCATTCTGGACCGTACTCACCCATGGACTTCATGGGTAGAGCAGAAGGGAATAGCTGCCCATCCCTGCCATGCCTTTGATTGAATAAATCAGGTATGGTATGCTTTTCAAAATAGAGTTTTCATGGTCAACTGTTGCACTGTCTCCAGTGTTGACATTCCTCCCGACTCTCCACCACATTTTCTCCCTCCTTTTTTTTTTCCAATGGAGTATGGGAGTCCTTACCACTGTCCAGTTCCAATTCACTGGGGTAGTGGATCATGGAGGTATCATCCTGAATGTGATATTGATGTACAATACAAATAATGTTACAACCATTCAGTTGAGAGTAGTGTGATGGTGTTCTGCTAGTGTAAATGACGAGATGACCTCCAATTCGATGCTCCATCTCTATTCGGGTTTATCCAAGAGGATATTGTGTCTTTGAAGTGAGCTGTCAAAATACAGTTCACTTCTTTGATTAGGATCCCTCATCCTACCCCCACGTGAATATTGGTTCCCAGTGGCTGGATTTTGTATTCAGAGCTGAACCAATCAACTTTTGTTCCCTCCACTCTGTTGTGGGTTATGGTGGTTGGACGTGTAGATTAATACAGATCTTCCTCGTAAGCTATCCCTCGGTGTTTTCATATATGAGGATGTTATTGCACTGGGGGTTATTCTTGTCAGATGGTTTTGAGTGAGTTAGTTTCCATTACCAAGACCTCTTTCTTATGCCGATAGTCCGGATGTCAATTAATTTACCACATTACTATCACGGGTCCCGTTCATGGAGCAGTAGGTTCAGGAATCCCTCCATTCTGCTGGACTTGAGGTAAAGATCACATGATCCTTTTTCCTACCCCTACCAGACAGCTGGGTTTTAGATTGAAGTTGACTTACCACTGGTATGATCCTCTTTCCTACCCCCACATGGATGTTGGTTACTGGTGGCTGGTTTTTGTATTGTAGTTGACTTACTGATGGTATGATCCTCATCCTACCTACAGAGAATTGTCTGTTTCTCTTTCAGTTTAAACTTTATTCCCACAGGAAACATCTTGACAACCTTAGCTGCATTTTTAAAGGCTTTTGTTACGTTGTTAGAAAGCCTGAAAAACTGTGATAGTTATGGGAAATTGTCTGATTTTGCATGCTATTATACTATGTTCTTTAGTGCTTTATTAATTAAATAAAACATTATTTAGTGCAGAAGTACCATTACTATAAAAAAGTAGGATTAAGTGTCATCAACAGCAAAGAAAATAAATTAAGACCCAGGTAAGTAATTTATTTCTTGTGTTCCATGTGTATTCTTTATTTATTATTGTAAAAGCTACTAAAATGTAAAAATCACAATATATTT